TTTTTTGTTTCTCTGTGCATTCCTTGCTGTCCTGGAACTTGCTTTTTAGACCAGGCTGACCTCGAACTCATAGAGATCTGCCTGCCCCTGCTGCCTCTGCCTCTTGAGCACTGGAATTAAAGGCATATGCCACCACACCCAGTTAGAATGAGGTTTCTGCTGCAATCATCTTATGGATTTCGCTGAAGGAAGAAACAAATCCACTATATACATTTTGTTAATCTTGTAGTTGTAATAAAAGAAACTTCTTAACATAATAAAAGTGATATTTATTTCATCTAACAAATAAAAATGATAGCTATAATAGTTATAATACCTAGATTACAGAAGCAATATGGGTATTCAAAAACAGAGCTCATAGATAAAGAAAATGTATTATGTATACATGATGGCATTTTTTTCAAACATGAAAATGGATGTAACTAAAAATAACCATAATCATATTAAGTGAGTTAAAACAGCCCCAGAAAAACTAATATTTTATGTTTTCTCTCATTAGTGGTTTTTGCATTTTACATGGATACAGAAAACCATGTATGTACATATGACAACAGAAGCAGAAGTGAGCATGTTTAGGAATTAGTGGAGGGACGAGAAAAAGTGGTAGGAGCATAATATGGGAAAATCTGAACACTGTACAATGGACGCCTTCGTGAAAGAGGCCTCATGTAACACAGTATCACATACTATTTACATATACAGTGAAATTTTTAAAAAACTGTGATAGCTACAGTGTGATGACTGAAAAAGAAATGCCCCCATGGTTTGAGCATTGGACACTTGGTCTCTGGTTGGTGGTGCTCTTTGGGGAAGTTTAGGAGGTTCAGCCTGGCTGGAGGATCAACTGGGGGCAGGCTCTGAGGGTAAAATGTCTCACTACTTCCAGGTCACTCTGCTTTGTGCTTGTGGCCCAAGACGTGAGCCTCAGTTTCCCGCCCCAGCAGCAAGTCTGCCACCTGCTGTCACGCTATCTCCACCCTCACGGACTCTAACCCTCTGGAACTGTAAGCCCCCAGCAACACTTCCTTCTAGAAATCATCTCGGTCATGGTGTCTTATCACGTGTAGTCAGGGGTGGTGGTATCCATGCTGCAACCCCATGACTACAGAGGTTGAGACAGGAGGATGGATGGTGATTAAAACAAGGTAAGGCACAAGTGACTTTACATATAAGCACAATAAGAAACCAACCACCCAACCAATCTCAAATGGTAACATGTCAATCCTTTACCACAATGAATGTGAACTTCTCTTCACACAGTTAAGTTTTATAATCTGAATGAATGTCATGTACAAGGGAAAAGCTGTGCTTTACTTGAAAGCTGGTCTAGTCTAGGTCTATAGCACATACCTCTAGATTACCTAGTTCTGATCCCATAAAGTCTATCTTCTATCTCTTTATATGACTTGATAACGACCACAACACCGAACTGCTTCTCTATGCAGAGGCAAATTCTACCTTGGCAAATGGGAGTTCAGTTGATTCCTCTTCCTTCCTGCTAGTGTTACACATTCACGTCAGTACTCCTAGTCCCCAATTGCAGCTTGTTTGGATTCTCCTTTGAACCAGTTATAACTACTGCTCAGGTCTCATTTAATTGAGTTAAATAAAATAATTAATGCTTACTCCTTTGGTATCTGTATAATTCATGGTACTACTGTTTTTAAATTATCTCTTACTATACAATAATCACGCACCATGGAAGCTACTAGGAAGAGAGAACAAACTCCCAAGGTTAATCTCTAACCTCAATAAATGAATAAATAAATATATTTTTTAAAAGATTTATTTATTTGTTATGTATACAGCATGTATGACTACAGGTCAGAAGAGGGCACCAGATCTCATTACAGATGGTTGTGAGCCACCATGTGGTTGCTGGGAGTTGAATTCAGGACCTCTGGAAGAACAGGCAGTGCTCTTAACCACTGAGCCATCTCTCTAGCCCAAATATATTTCTTTTAAAAGGTGGAGGAGAAAAGAAAGACATGAATGTGTGTAAATTACAGTTTTAAGGGCAAGGATTCTATTTCTTCCTTTTTTGTTTTGACTTCTGGAAATGCTTTATTATACTGGTTTTCTTTTCATCTCGCTGATATTTTATTTTCCCAGAAAGAAAAGTTTATCTATCATTTCCCTTTTGAAAATTTACTACATCTCCTTCATATTATCTACTATCTCTTGTAGAATCTTCAGGTCAGGTTGACCACTGACAATTTCCTCACTTTCCCTCCACTTTTGATATAGTACATTTATTCAAGGTCATCTCAACACCTCACTTTCAAATCTCTTTTTTCTAAACATTTCCTTTATGTACACGTGTACATGTTTGTGTGGCTGTATGCTATGCATGAGAACATTCAGGGAGGCCAGAAAGGGCTTGGATCTCCTGGAGCTGGAGTTACAGAAGATTGTAAGTACTTGGCATGGTGCTTGGACCTGAACAGACCCTCTAAAGAGTAGGAAGTGCTATCAATTGCTAAGCCATCATCTCTATGTGTGTGTGTGTGCATATGAGTGCACGTGTGTGCATATGAGTGCACGTGTCTTTGGAAGCCAGAGGTCTTGAACTCCCCCTGGAGCTGGAGCTACATGAGGTTGTCAGCTGCCTAACAGGTATGTTGGGAACCAAACTCTACAAGAGCAGTAAGTGCTCTTAACTGCTGAGACATCTCTCCAGCACCTCAAATATCTTCTAGTATTAATTGATGTTCTTTAAAAGTTCATTTCTTCAACATTTCATTCATATTGTTTTCTAGTACAGTAACTGATTGGCTCAAGGAAAAAGGAAAGGTATTATTAAAATATTTTCTATATGTCAGCCTTCAAAAATATAATGGCAATGCCTTGTTTACTCTAGGCCAACTCTTCTAGTCCAACAAGCAGCCTTCTCTGCTGTTTGTTCATCTGGCCTTTGTGTCATGTGGTGAAGTATGTCTACCATCCCGCCAGGTCCATTCAGTACACAATTACTGGTTAACACACTACTATTATTTTAGACAATATAATTGAGGCAACTAAAAAATTACTTTCTAAATAAATCACTTTTCCGGGGCTGGAGAGATGGCTCAGAGGTTAAGAGCACTGACAGCTCTTCCAGAGGTCCTGAGTTCAATTCCCAGCAACCACATGGTGGCTCACAACCATCTGTAAAGAGATCTGGTGCCCTCTTCTGGCCTGCAGTCATACATGCTGTATACATAATAAATAAATCTTAAAAAATAAATAAATCACTTTTCATTTTTATTATAACAACCACAAGAAAATAAGTGTGTGGTTTGGAGATGGCTGGAGAGCGCATGTCTACTGCACAGGCATGAGGGCCTGAGCCTGGACCCCAGCATCCAGGTGACAGGCAGAGTTAAGAAATTAAAACTGAATCATACATAGTGCAAACCATACACAGTATCAAGGTTACTCTCCAGAGTTCCAAAGAAAGAGAGACTAGGGCCGAGGATACAGCTCAGTCAATAAAGTACTCACCATGCAGGTATCAGCACCTAGGTTCAGTTCCCAGAAACCATAAAACAGGGCAGGCGAGGTGGTGTGTGCTTGTAACCCCACCACTGAGAAGGCAGAGACAGGGAGATCCCTAGGGATCACCGCTGGCCAGCCAGCTTAGCCCACACGGCCAATCCTAGATCACCGAGAATACCTGACTCAGTAAGAAGGTACCCTCTCACTTCCACATACATGCAAAAACACATGTACTCCCTAAACACACCACACACACACACACACACAAACACGAGCGAGGGGGCAGGGCATGAATAGGTAATTAATTCACAGAAAGAGAAAAAGGGCACAAGTATCTTTAAAGTATCTACCTACAATAACAAACATACAAATTAACAAAACAGTTGTGGGAAAAGAATAATCAATGGATTCAATTTTCTTTAGAGTAAGTAACATATTCTGAGCAACTACATCGCTGCAAGCAACTAGAAGTACTGGATAAAGTCTTTCCTGGTGATGCTAGTGATGCAGCAGACATATCGGGAAACAAGCAGACCCTGAGCTACAGAGCTGGACCGGTGAAATCCCACCGGCAGTACGAAGACACCTGACAATGAGAGCCGCTGTGCAGAAAGGGGTGGAAAAGAGGCCTGCTGTACTAGTGCAGTGTGGGAGGAAAGCAGGTCACTCCTTTAGGAATGACGACCACAAGCCAGACTATGACAATGGTGCTCAACCTGGGGGCTGCAACCCCTTTGGAAGTTCAATAATCCTTTCACAGGGTGGCCTAAGACCACTGATATTCACATTACGATTCATAACAGTAGCAAAATTACAGTTATGAAGTAGCAATGAAATAACTTTAAGGTTTAGGGGTCAGCACAACATGAGCAACTGTGTTAAAGGGTTCCAGCACTAGGAAGGTTGAGTACTGCTGCTCATGGGGTCACAGCATCAGTGGGATTATGACGCAAGCTAAGTATTTCAGCACTGCTCCCAGTTAAGCGGGTTGCAGGACATGACAGAGTGAACACAAATTCTCCCTGGAGAAAATGGACTTCTAATCTAGGAGTTCTTTGTAGATAAATGTTGTAGAATCATGATTTTTTATGTTTTTTTTTAAAGATGAAAGAAAAGAAAATAGGTGTACTATGGACCTCAGTAGAATCAGACCCAAATACTTCAAATATTGTGTTAGTCATATTCAGTCTATATAACAAGTCACCTCTTGGTCTTTTGGCGAAAATCAAGCACAGACAATATAATAAATGTATTCTTATGTATTTACAGATATATTCTTAACATTATCAAACTAACATCTTCTTTTATAATGTGCCTATTCCTATCCTGGAATTTAAAATTCCAGCCTACACAGATTTACTGAAACATAAATTTCTGGTCATGTACTCATTTTCTCCAGGAAATTATTTTTTATACTCACAGAGCATTCACAAACTTTATTGCAGATGAGAGCTCTGCTACAACTCTGGGAATAAAAAGTAAAATCACAACACAGGGCCTTGGCCCTGAGGGGCCTGAGTTTTGGGAAGGAAAATGCAGAGCCCTGATATCCCACAAAAGGTACCGAATGGTCCAGGCCTGATCACAGGCAGCTGCCATCACTGAGCAGAGACTGCTCTGGTAGCATCTACAGAACACCCTGGCAAACAGCCGTGCCACCAAAACAAGGGAAACACTGCAGCAGCAGGCAGGTCCACGGCAGGAGGAGGCTCTGACTCCTCCCGGGACTTCCCACCCAGCCCCCATCTTTTGCCAGCAGCAAGGAGTGCTGGAGTAGGGGGGGAGAAGGCTGGGGGAGGCTGGGGATCCTCCAGCGCTGCTTTCTGGAGCTGCAGCCCCCCAGGCTGGGGGAGAAATGTTTTGGCTAGAGGTGCAGCTGCCTGAGTCACCATGCTCTCAGTAACCTGACAGGTTTTCCAAGCTAAACTCCATTTCTTTGGTTTGATGCAGTGTGCCATGCGGTATGAACAGATGTCTCCTTTGTGTCTCAGGAAAAGCAATGCACCAGATCTATTTTTGTACCCATAACGTACAAAAAAAGCTTAGGTAATTTGTAGCAAAATAATGCATATCAGCTTCAAACGAGCTACACTTTGTATGTGTAGCATCCAAGTGATCACTATGTTGTCATGTGACAGATAAATGTGTCACACAGATTAAATTCCACCATATACTTAGACATATACTTGGTATCATGCATATGAAAAGACCAGTAAGTCCATAATCTTTAATAGACAGCAAACAAATCAGAAAACAGATCCAGCAAAAGAAACAAAATCAAAACTCCAAGAGACTATGTAGAAATTCTTTCTAGAAATGGAATCATAGCAATAATGAAAAGAACCTGAAGCCTAAAATAAATAATCTCTACATGTCATTATAAAATATAGGTTATATTTTTATGTGACAAAAAATTAAGGAGGGGGTTCCGTGGACTTCTGTTATAAACTTACTGTCACTAGACATATTCTTCTGCAGTATGTAACTCTGAACTGGAAAAGATATGTAAGACAATTGTTCACATCACAGGGCAGAGAAATGGGCAGCAAAGAGGTAGGATGCTTGATAGAATGGAATTATAGACCACTAGCTTCTGCCCAGGTAGCCTTTTGGACCAAGGGGCCTGAAAATGTAGCTCAAGTACCATAACCTCAGTGTTCCCGAGCCGAAGAGGTACTGCAGTGGAGCAATTTCCTCTGCAGTGAGAACACTCTTCTGGAGGGAGGGGGACTCATAATACTCACGGGAACCCCCTCCCCAAAGCTATATAATCTGTAAACAATGAGTGGGGGGAAGAGACTATCTGTCAAAGCTGCCTAGAGCTGGGCAGGAAACCTGGGGATACAGCTTTCCGGGGTTATCAGCTATGTTGCTGTGGGCTTTTTGGTGATCTTACTGTCTGTGAGTGAACCATGCTCCTGGTAAATAACCCCTCATCCAAGTTCCCATAAGTCAACCCAATTAACTCTGGTCCATCAAGCTAAACTTGGGGTAGGACAGTATCCTTGATCTGCCATTGATGCTCAATTAGGGATGGATGAATAGACATTTATTCACATCTCCTTAGGAAGAATCACACACAGGATACAGACAGACTTGAACTCAGGGTTCCTGAAGCAGTAGAATTTATAAACCAGGTTCCTGGAGACAAGAGCTATATGCAAAGGCATCTCCCTCCCCAATGCACACACACTTCTGATTGACAAGAAAGGCTTTATTATTCGTAGAGAGATAAACAAAGATATCTGAGGTCAGACAATAGTGAGAAATACTGACTAGCCAGAGCATATAAAAACCACACTAAAATTTAAATCCAGAAACATGGAAAGTTATTTCACCTTAGGGGAAAAGGACCATATTTTAAAGAAAGGAAGAAGTATTCTCCAGGACCCTGCAACACACCGTGTGTGTGTGTGTGTGTGTGTGTGTGCGTGTGTGTGTGTGTGTGTGTGTGTGTGTAAAACCTATATCAAAAGTAAAGTCAGTAAAATAAAAATTCAGTAATACCACTGCATACAAAACAAAACTCAATACCCTATAAAGATAAAATAACCCATACAGTCTACAACCTATCAGTTCAACACTTTTCATAGAACCACAAATTACTAGGCATGAAAAGCATGAAAAAGTAACCCATATTCAAGGGAGGAAAGCATTCAAGACCCCAAATTTTGTAATTTTGTAAACAGAAAAAAAAAAAAACAACCCTCAAGACAAGCTATTTTGTAAACACACACACACACACACACACACACACACAATTAGACTTGAAAGTTACAATGTTTAAAATGAACAAATTTACTAATAGGGTAAAAATATCTACAAAACTGAAGAGAAAGCAGTGGCCTTGGGTTGGCAAGATGGGTCAGCAATGAAGGTACTCGCCACCAATCCTGACAACATGCACCTGATCTCCAGAACTCACATGGTGGAAGGAGAGAACTAAAACTTCTCAGAGCTGTCTTCTGGCCTCCATACACATGCCAGAGCACTCCTATGTCTACACACAGACAAAATAAACACGTGGGGTTTTACATCAGTGGACTTAAGGACTGATGACAAAAGCAAAGGTGAGAACTGAATCACACAGAAAATAAAAATTTATAAATAAGAAGAGGTCGCCTGTGCTCCAGTGGATGCCCCACACCCATGAGCATATGGGAGGCAACAAACATTGGGTTTGAACGCATTGGCGCAGGAGACCTCTTCCTAAATATAACACCAGTAGCACAGACACTGAGAACAACAATCAATAAATGGGACCTCCTGAAACTGAGAACCTTCTGTAAGGCAAAGGACACGGTAAATAAGACAAAATGCCATCCTACGGAGTGGGAAAAGATCTTCACCAACCCCACATCTGACACAGGGCTGATCTCCAAAATATATAAAGAACTCAAGAAACTACACATCAAAATACCAAATAACCCAATTAAAAAAATGGGCTACAGATCTAAATGGAGAATTCTCAACAGAAGAATCTCAAATGTCTGAAAAACATTTAAGGAACTGCTCAACATCCTTAGCCATCAGGGAAATGCAAATCAAAATGACTCTGAGATACCATATACCTGTATCAGAATGCCTAAGATAAAAAACACTGATGAAAGCTTATGTTGGAGAGGATGTGGAGTATGGGGAACACTCCTCCATTGCTGGTGGGAGTACAAACTTGTACAGCCACTTTGGAGATCAGTATGGCAGTTTCTCAGAAAATTGAGATTCATTCTACCTCAACACCCAGCCATAGCACTCTTGGGCATATACCCAAAGGATGCTGAATCATACAACAAGGACACTTGCTCAACTGTCTTCATAGCAGTATTATTCATAGTAGCCAGAAAATGGAAACAACCTAGATGCCCTTCAACCAAAGAATGGGTAAAGAAAATGTGGTATATTTATACAATGAAGTGTTACTTAGCAGTAAAAAAACAATGACAACATAAAATTTGCAGGCAAATGGAAGGAACTAGAAAAAAAAATCACCCTGAGTGAGATAACCCAGACCTAGAAAGACAAAAATGGTATGTAGTCATTTATAAGTGAATATTAGATGTAAAGCAAAGGATAACAAGGCTACAATCCACAACTCCAGAGAAACTAGGTAACAGGGAGGACCCTAAGAGGGACATGCATGAAACACCCTGGGAGGGGGAAATAGATAAGATCTCCTGGGTAAACTGGGCGGGGGCAGGGGAGAGGGGAGGGGATGGGAAATGAGAACATAAGGGAACAGTATGGTCGAGTAGGGGGAGGGATGGAGAGGGAGAGCAGTGAAAGAGATATCTTGATAGAAGGAGCCATTATGGGGTTAGGGAGAACCTGGTGCTAGGGAAACTCCCAGAAATCCACAAGGACGACCCCAGCTACAACTCCTAGCAATGGCGGAGAGGGTGTCTGGCCTTTCCCTGTAATCAGAGTGGTGACTACCCTAACTGTCATCACAGAGCCTTCATCCAGTGACTGATGGAAGCAGATGCAGAGATCCACAGCTAGGCATGGGGCCCAGCACCTGGAGTCAAGTCAGAGAGAAGGGACAGGGGGCTCAAGATCATGATGGGAAACCCACAGACAGCCGACCCAAGCCAGTGGGAACTCTCAGACTCCGGATGAACGACGGCAGGGGATGGAACCAGGCCCTCTGAATGTGGGTGACAGTTGCACAGCTTGGCCTGCCTGTGGGGCTCCTGGCAGTGGAATTTAGAGTTATCTCTGGTGCATGAACTGACTTTGTGGAGCCCACTCCCTGTGGTAGGATACCCTGCTCAGCCTTGATGCAGGGCACCTCAACTTGATGTGCCACACCTTGCTGAATCCCCATGGGAGGACTTACCCTCTCTGAGGGATTGGGGGTGGGCGGGGGAGAACTGGGGGCGGGGGGAAGAGAAGGAAAGGGGAAGGTGGAACTATAGTTGGTATGTAAAATGAAAAAAAAATTAAATAAAATTAGATAAATAAATAAATAATTTATGGCAGAGGCTGGAGAGATGGCTCAGTGGTTAAGAACAGTGGCTGTTCTTCCAGAGGTCCTGAGTTCAATTTCCAGCAACCACATGGTGGCTCACAACCATCTGTAACGAGATCTGGCGCCCTCTTCTGTCCTACAGTCATACATGCTATATACATAATAAATAAATAAATCTTTAATAAAATAATTTACAGTACCTTTATTCAGTATAATGTATTACTCAAAAGCATCAATAAACCAAATGCCTATCAACAGATAAACTGAGATACAAATTTTTATGGAATATTAAAATAAAAATTACCTATGTAGCTTTTACTGCTACGACAAATATCTGAGAAAAACAATTGAAGTGAGGAAAGACTTATTTCCTTAACCATTTAAGAGGCTTCAGGCTGTTATTGGATGGCTCCATTGTTCTTAGGCCCATAGTAAGGTAGGAACATCACAGGAACATGGGCATGATGGATAAAGTTGCTGGTCAATGACAACCAGAAAGCAGAGAAGACAAGAAAAATGTGGATAAAGACAGTCTTCAAAAGCACATCCTAGTGACCTACTTTCTTCAATTAGGTACCAGCTTCCTAAAGCCCATCAAGTCATGAAGGCATCTATGGATCACTCCACTGATGAAGTTAGTGCCCTCCTGAGCCAGGAACCCTGAAATGCACAATATAGCTGGTGTGGGAGCCCACAACTGACTCAGTTTCCCAGCTTGAATGTGAAGCCTATTTTGAGTCAATAGAGTTCAAGCTTGCTTGCTCCAGAGCCTCGAGAAAGTCCTGATTAGCCCGTAGAGTCTCCCTGAAAGGCGGTGAGAAAGTACTGATTAGCCCATGGGAAGGAACACACTATCTAGCTAGATACAGGCTGCTGATGCCAGCTGGAGGTACATTGAGATAGAAAATGAAACTGCCTGCTCCTTGACGCAAGGCAGGGTAGATAGTAATTGAATGCCTGTGCTGTGCATTGTTCTACTTCTGTCCTTCAAAACTGTGTATAAGCTGGCTGCGAAATAAACTCGGGGCTGTCCGGCATTGACTGACAGTCCTCTCGACTCTTTTCTATGTTCTTCATTGTCTCTACAACCTGCACGCCTCCACCCAGATACCAGTTGACTGTCAGCAGGCTCCGGCAAGCTGAAAACCAAGCAGTCCACATATGACCTCTGATGGGGGACATTTCATAAACAAACTGTAACAGATACAGAACTAATCATAAGACATAAGACATACATAACAGACTCAACATCCTACTTGACAAGTACTTGCTCAGCCATGTTCATTGCTGCTCTATTCACAATAGCTAGGAAATGGAAAAAAAAACCTAAACGTCCTTCAACTAAAGAATGGATAATGGAAAATGTGATACATATGTACTATGAAATAATATTCACCTGCAAAGAAAAGTGAAATCATGAAATTTACAGGTAAACAGAAGGGAAGGGAAGAGATCATATTGATTGAGATAATGCAGACTCAGAAAGACAAACATTTGATGTTTCCTCTTCAAATGTGATTATGTAACCTGGAGTGACCAAAGAAACCAGGAAAGTAAAAGGAGAACACGGTGGGGCAGCTCCAGAGAAGGGAGTCACGGGATACAGGCAACAGAAAGTGGAAAATAAGAAAAGGAGGGGCGGAACTTGAGAGGTGGCTCAGTGGTTAAGATCACTGGCCGCTCTTCCAGAGGTCCTGAGTTCAATTCCCAGCAACCACATGATGGCTCACAACCATCTGTAAAGAGACTTGGTGCCCTCTGCTGTTGTGAAGGCATACATGTAGACAGAGCAGTCACACATAAAATTTATAAAAAAAGAAAAAGGAGGGGCTTTCACTGTGGAGGGAAGGGTGTGAGTTCAATGTAGTACACACACACACACACACACACACACACACACACACACACACACCACAGCACAAGTGAAGTTAAAGCACCTGACTAAAATACTGCTCTCAAGAACCATAGACTAGCTATTTAAAGTGCCAGTATCGCGAGTTCAAAACTCTCTTTTGAGCTGCTGGCCAGGGGAGTCCAAGAGACTCCCCAAACAATGTAGGCTGTTGCTGTTGTCCTTGGGAGTGTTTAAGTCCCTTTTGCTAAAGACAACATGCACTTCCGACACAGCCTCAGAGAATCTGAGCTGGACCTAACACAAGGGCACTCAAGTTCATAAAAGAAACATTACTACAAAAAAAATCACATATTGACGCTAATACAGTGGTGAGACAAAAACCAAACAGAGAAATGCTGGAGCTAAGTAATGTCATAAATCAAACAGAACTAACAGACATCTACAGAACATTCCACCCAAACACTAAAGAACATAATTCCTTCTTGGCAGCCCATTGAACATTCTCCAAGATTGACTATGTATTAGGACATAGAGCAAGTCTCAACAGACATTAAAAAAGAAAAAAGAAAAAAAAAAGCCTACTACAGTAGAAGCTTCTTAAAATATATACATATGTCAAAGAAATCTATATTACTAAGTAACAGGTGAGGTAAAGCCAAAACTAGACATCTATTGGTACCCAATGAAACCCCAGTGCCAGGAATGGCATACATCTAACTGAGCTGTTGGCTGAAGGGGCCCCTTGAAAATCCCCCCAACATCCAGGCTATTGTCAAAGCTATTGGTTGCTCTCTAGAAACTGATGGTAAGGCCTGTTGCGGAGGACACCACCTACATACCTCACTGAACACAGAGAAGTCAAGCTGGTGATAACACCAGCCAGTCTATACTCCTACTGACCAGTGTTCATGGTATCCTGCTTTAATCCATGGTTTTCTGACTGGATGCAGGGTGTTGTTCCATTTTATATTTCTTTTTATTTTTTAGGTTTTTTTTAATGCAAACAAAATAATTTTTGTAAATAAGAACACTATGGTGCAGTATAATCCCCACTAGCAAGGCATAATACAATAATTTTATTTAAATAGACACTGCTGAGGAATGGCTAAGGGGGAGAAAGGTTAACACCAGCCCAGCCACACACACTTTTATCTACAGAGGTAATGTGCTTACAAGAAACACTGGTGCAACTGTGGCACAAAGTTGTGAGAGGAACCAACTCTCAGACTGGATTTACAGCCCACTCCATGAGACGGAACCCATGCCTGACACTGCTTGGGTGGCCAGGAACCTGAGACTCAATAAGTCATGAATCTAGGGGAAACCAAATGCTACTCTGCTAAAGAAACACAACAAAAAAATCACCCCAATGATATATTGCCATGCCCATAGAATAGCCCATTACTCAACACTCAACAGAGAAGCTCCTTCTAGCAGTAGATGGTGATTAACAGAGAGATCTACAACTAGACGATATGCAGAGAAAGACTCTGGAACACGCAGCCCTAAATAGGATGTCATTATGAAACCCCTCCCCACAAGGCTCAGGGAACTGTACAGAAGAAGAGGAGTAAAGATTGTAAGACCTAGAGGTCGTGGATGACTTCAAAGAAGCAGTGTCTTCCAGACACAACAGGACTGATACGCATATGAACCTAGAGACCATGACGGTACACACAAGACGTGCACACGTTCAAATCAGACAAAATCCCAGCACTGAGAAGAAGTAGACACAATTTCCCACCCCAGAAGCTCGTTGCAATAGATACCTGCCGGGAAAGGGAGATTCAGTTGTTTCCAATCAAGTGTCACGAACCACACCCTAGGGCAGTCCCAGGCCCAGGAGTAGTTAGTTGGCCAACACCAAATGAACTCCATGGTTTGTTTTATTGTGTGTATGCTACTTGTTGTGGCTGAATGATTTTCTTTATTTTAGACTGTCAACTTCTATTTTCATTTCAGAGTATTTTTGCTGTTGTTTTCCCTGTTTATCTCTCTCTGTCTCTGTCTCTCTCATCTCTTTTGTTGAGAGAAAGGAAGAACATGAAGTTGAATGGGTAAGGAGGTGGTGAGGATCTGGAAATAGTTGGAGGAAGGAAAAGAACATTAAAAAATAGTATATAAAATTTTTAAATGAGAATTTAAAAAATTTTAAATATAAGATGCAACTGTAAGTTGTTTAAATGAGACACATAAAACATAAAGACATAAAAAAAACTGAAAAGAAAAACACAAGAAGTAATCATCAATTTGTGCTTTTCAGACCAGGTTCATATGCTGAGTCCCAATCCTGGTGTGACTTATTTGTAGAGAGGCCACTTAACACATATGTCTGATACAATAGGTACTTAGAGAAGAGGAAGAACACTAAGGTTGTATGTGTTCAGAAAAAAAGCATGAGAGAATATGAACAAAGCAGTGGGAAGCAAGTCATGGATCCACATCAGGAGACTCAACCAGTGTCCACAACTGTGGGAAAAACAAATTCCTGTTGTAAAACAAGGACTATGATGAGACCAGCATTTTTTCTTTTTAAAAATGTGTTATTTTCAACTTTTATGAAATATTCTTATATTATTTCTATAATAATAAAGATATCTTTGGATAAACAAATTGAAAGAGAGGGAAGGAACCAAATAATTTATTCCAATATATGAGAAAAAATAAAATTTAAGTCAATAAGTCCATTTTATATACACTATAATAACAAGAACTTGATGGTTCCCAAATTTCAATCTCCAGCCCTTTCCTTTACCTTGAACTTCAGAAAAGCTCAGTCAAATGCAGATTTGACATCTCTAACATCCCTTATGCCTCTGGACTTCATACTCTTTAACTAAAGAGTCCTTATGATTCTACAACCCTGACCACTTCCATCCAAATCTCAGTAGGTTGCACCATCTTTTACTCAAACTGCATTATAATAAATTGCACTACCTGGCTCATAATACACACACAGACACACAGACATGGACACACACAGACAGAGACAGAGACAGATAGACAGACACACAAACAAACAAACTCACACACATCAAAGTAAAATCTGAGAAAACAAAACAAAAATCCATGCATCTCCATGCAGACTGTGCTTGCTCTTCCAAAGAGCAGGGGCAGTGTGCAGAGGCTGGCACCCTTTGCTCCTCTGTCCTGAAGATCTCCCTAAGCAGGTTATAGTTTCCTCACAGTGACCTCACAATTGCAGAGAACACATCTTCCAAATACAGCTCCAAGTTCCAAATACCGTCCCAGGAGAGCCAAAAGCCAACTCTGTGTTCCTACTAACAATGGAAAAACAGGCTAGTGAAGTGGCTCAGCAGGAAGGACAGACTGCCCAGCCTGACAGCCTGAGTTCAATTCCCTGAACACACTTATTAGAGGGAGAACTGACTCCTGCAAGTTGTTCTCTGGTCTCCATATACATGCCCTGGTACAGATGCCTATTCACATACACAGACTGAAAAATAATACAATCTTTTTAAATAGAAAGGACACAGTGAAAAACCAATAATCCACAGAACAAGGTAATCAGAGGGAGAATGCTGTGTGTTTTTAGAAAATATGGTTTCCATTGGCATAGAGAGAAGAAAGGACCACAGACACAAACACCGTAAGGCAATTTCTAAAGGCACAGTGAAGCGAGCATGTCGAACAGACAACAGGATGAAGAATGTGGAGTGACGGAAGTGGTGTGCTGACAAAGCCCTGGGTGTCTCCCATCTGGTGATAACCTGTGGGCTGGGTTCTTTGAGAAGGCTGTTTACATGTGTGATAAAAACCTACTCCCAATCAGTTCTGTCTTTTGAGAACCATGCCTGCTATGTTTTTGATGCTTAGGGTCTGCATGGGGCTACTGGGACTCTCCAAGCATAGGGAGGACAAGCCACTCACATTAACAAACCAGAGCAGGAAACTGGAGTCTAGATCAATAAAAATCAATCCTGGGCTTCTGTGAGAACTGCTGGGAATTATATCCCTCTTGATGCTGTGATTGAGCACTCACATGCCCATGTGCCTGAGACCACTTTCATTCCTGGAATCAGTAATTATTTGACTCAAAAGCTTCATCCTGCATTCTTAAATCAAGGGGTCCAATGTCAGTCTCTCAAAGTTATATGGAGAATTTGCTGGGAAACACCAAGGTCCCGGGGTAAGGCTGGGGAAGCCTGGGGGTGTGCATTTCCCCTTTTCTCTTAAAAGATTTTATTCATTCTCTCTCTCTCTCTCTCTCTCTCTCTCTCTCTCTCTCTCTCTCTCTCTCTCTCTCTCTCTCTCTCTCTCTCTCCTTCCCCCTCTTCCCTGTGAATGTGAGTGTGTGGGGGGGTGTGTGTGCGCGCGCAAGAGTACAAGTGCCTGGAGAGGTCAGAAGCATCATATAACCTAGAGGTGAATTAAGTCCTCTGGAAAAGAAATGCACTCTTAACCATGGAGCTTCCTCTACAGTATTCCCCTTCTTTTTCTGAGACAAAGGTTTCACCAGGTTTTGTAGACTGGCCTCAGCTTCCCAAGTGCTGCACCAACAGCTCTCACAGGAGAGTGGGCATTTCTACTAAGATTCTGAATGCTGCTGCTGCTCCATAAACCATACTTCCTCAGCAGGTCAGATATTCTTCACTTCCCCTTATCTTCTAGCAATATTCATATTAGTACTGCTGAACTGTGTATCAGTTTCATTAAGGTTATTAGCACCTATATTTCTCTCTTATGGATGGTCCTAGATTAAAGCCAAGAGAAAACTTATGAAAGATTTAAAAGGGAAATTGCAGATGCTATTACTCTTAGAGGAATCACATGGTCAGGTGTGGAAACAGACTGATACATATAGTAGGTTCCAGCTGTTTTCTCTCTTTCTCTGGTATTCTGTGCATAGACTGTCTCCCAACTATTAGATCTGTTAGCCAACAGAGACC